AGAAAGCCGATTAAGATGTTTCCTTGAATGAACTCGAAGAGCATATTTCATATCAGGAATACAAAATGTTCCCTTAGAAGTTCTTTTCTTGGTTTCTCTTTCTGGTTTGAGCTTTCTGAGAGGCTTTGTTTTAACAACATTCACATCACATTCATAATTATGGGGGTCTGGAATAGAATAACCATAAGCAATACTTGTATTATGAATAGAACGATGTCTAGAAGAAGTCTCAGAAATATTCAGCTTGGGACTCAAGACTGAACTACTAGATGTTTGTTTTGAAGAGACAGAATTACAATTAACTTTAGAGTAGAAAATAGAACTAGATCTAGGACTGGCACTATTCTCAAAAACTTTCTTTTTGCCTTCTGCGATTTCCTTCATCTTTTTCCTCCACTCATTCTTCTCTTCTCCTTCCTTCTTCACTTCATTTCCTGTAAACAAAGGAGAAGAGAGATGAGTGGACGAACCTTTTAAAACCTTGTTTTTCTCAGGTGAGATGTGTGAACTCTCAGTCTTTGAAGTAGAAGGGGCTGATTTAGCATGATACTGCTCACTCAAATCATTGAACTTTTGAAGAAGTTCCTGCCAGTTGCTCTCAAAACCTTTCTTTTCAGTTTCAAATCTCTCTCTCGTTATCAAGAGTTTTCTGAAGGTTTTTGAGTTTTTGAGCCATGGGAAAAATACAAGGTTCCTCTCCAGTTTTAGCGATACCTACTCTTGGGGGTGGATCTAGAGGATGTCCTATGTGAGGAATATCTTTAGCATAAGGGTCAAGACATTCACTAAAGCAGGAACTAGATTTTTCTTGTGAAAGTTGTTTTTCATTTACAGAGGGATAATCACAAGAAATCACAGCTTTAGGGTTCTTTCTCTTTTCTTCTTCTGCTTCAGCGTTTTCTTCATCACTTCGAAAATACATTTTTTCACCAAACCCTAGTCCCATGTAATCTTTGTTATAAATTTGAAGACAGTTAACTTTCTTTAGATTACACGGGTTTTTTATGCCCAGTCCTATTCTAGGATTGTAGAATCGGTCATCCTTTATTCGATTAAGAAAAATTGTCTGTTCAGACCGACCTCTTCTAGCAGCTAGATCCTCTAGTTCTTTTATTTTGTTTAAAAGTGTTCTTCTTTTATTATGCAAAAAATCGCATTCAGCCTTTGCTGTGCTTTTTTCTCGTTCACTATCCTCAAATTTCCTAGTTAATTCAGCTATCTTAAGTTCAAAGCTTTCAAAATCTGAGGACACCTTTTTGACCTGATCTTTTGCAATTTCAAGTTGAACACTTAAAAAATACTTTTGGTCTAGATTCTGTTTCAGTACCCTGTGATTATTGTCTAGTCTCTCCTTTAGTTCTTTAATTAGATTGTCCTTCTCAAGTAAGGACTGCATTTGGTTATTTAAAGGAGTATGAGAGGTACTTACAGAGCTTGTTGAGCATTCGCTTTCGGAGATCGCAACATCACACTTTCTTTCATCTTCCTCCACTCATGCCATCAGGGCATAGTTTTCTTCTTCCTCCTCCTCATCAGAAGAATCTTCTGCCCAGTTATCATTATCAGCAATCATTGCAGAAGTTTCTTCTTCTTTCTGCACCATCAGCATTTTCTTCTTATTCCACAACATCTTCTGCTTGTAGAAGTTGGCATCCTTCTTCTTTGGGAGGCGACAGTCTTTGATGACATGTCCAGCCTTTCCACAATTGTAGCATTTGGGAGCATCTTCAGCTGATGGCGCCTTTCTAGAAGATCCTTGTTCATGGTTCTTCTGTTTGTAGTTAGATGAGGAGGTTCTTAGCTTGTTGGAGGAGCTGTTCTTCTTTGCAAATCTCTTGGCAAGCAGTGCCATTTTCTTCTGTAAGTCTGCAAGCTCAACCTCCAGATCAGATTTGTCGTCATCACTTTCATCACTGTCTGATTCAACCACCACCTTCTTCTTCTTCTTCTTCTTCTTCTTCTTCTTCTTCAGAGGTGTGGTTGTCCTTCTGGGCTGAGCTTCCATCACAAGAGCTAGGGGATTTGTGGTGTGATGATCCTCGGCACAAGCAACCTCATTGACAAATTGCTTCAAATGTTCATAGAGAGTGCAGAGGTCAATTTCATCCAAGTCAATCCGAGATCTAACATCTTTCACTGTCTTTTCCCATGCAGCATGCAGGCTGGATAGAAATCTAATATTCAGTTCCAAGTTGGACCTGAATACTTTGATTTTTCTGAGTTCATTGACCAGTTGAACGAGTCTGTTGTAAGTCTCGTTCAAAGGTTCTCCCGGGCCTGCTTTGAAGGAGTCATAAGCAATAAGAATTGTAGTCTTCTTGGTCTTAAGGCTGATGTTTGTGCCTTGGAGCAGCTTCTCTATCTCACCCCACATTTCCTTAGTTGTTTGCATGCTATCGATGAGAACGTATACTTCATTGGGGATTGCTTGAAGAAGGTATGTTTTGGCCATGAGATCACCACGAAGCCTGAGCCTGTCAGCTTCCGTGTATTCAGATGCCACTTTCCTCCTTATTTCTGGAAGAATAGGAGGGTTGTTTTCTGGATCACCACCAACTGAAATCAAGAGTTCAGCTGGTCCTTCAAGCAAAGATTCAAGCATCGCAGCGGAGTTCTCTTTGTGCTCAAGGAAATTAAGGAATCGATTTCTCCACATTTGGTATTCTCCCTTCCTGAGGCTAGGAGGGGTACTGCTGTTCCCTTGTGCATTGAATTCTGAGGCCATTGCTGTATTAAACTGACCGTTCGAGAAAATTGATCAAAAGATTTTCAAAGGTAGAATGTCGAAAAATCAGATGTCGAGATCTGAATATCGAGATCTTGGATTTCGATAAAGGAGGCCCGGTATCGAGATTTGAGCTCGAGATTAGAGATCTCGAGATTAAGGATATCGAGATTTCAAATTTCGAGAAGAGGATCTCGAGATTTGAAATGTCGAGAAGTTAAAACTCGAAATCTTAATTTAAGAGATCAAATGTCGAGACCAGATGTCGAGACCTTATATTCGAAATCTTGATCTCGAAATCCTAGATGTCGAAATCCTCAATGTCGAAATTCTGCAAACTGTAAAAATCAGATAAGCAAAATCTGAAGGTAGTTTCCTGTATAGTAGAATGTCGAGATCCTCAGGTAAAGTTTTCAGCTCGAAAAACGTAGCAGAACCTGTTAAAAACCTAGATGTCGACAAGGGCTACTCGAAAAATCTCAAGTGCAGAATATGCGTAAAACGAAATCTGAAGTATACCCCTTGATCGCTTTGAAACGACGATTCTAAGGGTGTAACTTTTACAACTTTTGAACAAGAAACAAGATTACAGAGTAAAATATCGACAGAAAGAACAACGTAAAGAAAAACAGAGTCTTCTGCAGGCGTTCTTCTGATCGGCTCTCGATCGGCTCTGATACCAATTGATAGTCCCTGTTTCTGTAACAGCAATGATAAGCAGTCTAACAAAGAAGATTAAACGTAAAGATGAACACAGATTGAATCAATGTAAAACCCTCTTTGATAGACCGTGAACTCGTACAACAGAAAGATATGCGCGTAAGGTTATAGTGAATAAGTACGACGTTAACCTAATCCTAAACCCTCGGCTCCCTTTTTATAGGCGAGGTTTAGGTTAGGCGTGAAAGGCTTTTAGCCTGTTTATATGGGCCTAACACTTGGCCCACATTCTATTTAATACATGCACTTAATTAATACAAGGGCTAATAATAAAGCTAATATATGACAAACTTGATTCACAATTAAAATATCTCCAACATTGAACATCACGATATTTTCATTGGGCATCAAACCTCCTCTATTGAAATCGATGAAAATCACGAGTTCTGTTAAATGAGCATTAATGAATTTTTAATGAGCATCAATCCTATACAAATGAGCACATGTAGCTTACAAGATGAGCATTGATATTAAATTTGTAAGTTTTGTTCATTGAGCATCAAGACATTTTCGGTGAGCATCAAACATTCGTTATTGAGTATTAGAATCTGCGATTCAGTATCATGATTTGTGGTCTCATGTCTATAATCAACATCTATATAAATCTAATGTAATATGAGACTTTTAAAATATGCATTAATATAACATTTTAAAATGAGCAATTGAGCATTACAGAGGTACTAAATGGACATACATAACTTACAAAATGAGTTTTCAAAAATTCAAAAGCTCATTTGTGCATATTCATTTCTTTTAAGCGTTATATCCGTTTGAGTTTAATATAAAACTCATTTCTATAATATGCACATATAATAGATTTTTTATTAAGAATTGACTAAACTATTATTATACTCCGTTATATAAAAATTTGAAATATAATAAATTTTATATTCAAAATAATTTATAACTTATTGTTCTTTAATTAGAAAATTAATCACATTCTTTTTAGTATACTCATGCACATTACTCATGTACATTTATTTTAAACATTATTTTAAACCGTTTGGCGACTTGTAAGTCACCAAACCGTTTGGTGACTTGTTCAACAGTATATTGGTAAATACTTTTAACCCAGCATCATTTCCGTAAATATTTAATTACTTCGCATTAATTCGGAAAAAAACTCAAAAAAACATAGATAACTTATTTTATAATTCACAATTTAAAGAAATATTTAAATTATAACCAAAGTTGATCACAAAAAGAAAAAAGGAAGTAAGGTAAGACTAACATTAAGTAATTGAAAATAAGGGTCTAGAGCTGAATTAATGAAAAGATCTGGTAAAAGAACAAAAAGAGAACAAAAAGGTAATATGTGGCGTGATGGGTGAGTACGAGCATATAGCTAAAGAAACCAAAAAAGAAAAGCCTAAAGACAAGAGCATGATACGTCAATTAAAGGCTTGAACTTGCAATTTATTACAAAAATACAGGATGTATAGCTACACCCAGAAGTAAGTACATTTTATGCTTACGTAAATTTTTCAGAAACAAAGGAAATATGTAACCGAATCCGTGTACTCCTATGTCAATATTGTAAACTGGTCCCTACCTAGCCACATTTTATCCCAATCTCCCACTTTTTCCAATGACCAAATAATTTCCTATCCCATTTTGTTCTTCTTCTCTTCTTCTTCTGTTCTTTTTCCAAACGAAACCTGCAAGATTCAGAGGAAAAATGTCAGTAGCATCATCATCAATCTCATCCATCAAAATCCCAAACCCATTATCGCCCCCACCTTCTTCCTCTTTCGCTTTGATGCGGTTCTCTAAGGCCAGGCCCGTAATACTTACAATAAGGAGCTCTCAAGCTGAAGGCCCTTTAAGAAGGCCTGGGGCTCCTACGCCTGCAAAGCCAGCCTCACCCTCTCGGCCGCCATCTCAGCCGAGCTCTCCTCCCACGCCAGGGGCAGTGGAGGGCAAGAGTGTAATTACCATCGAGTTTCAGAGGCAAAAAGCTAAGGAGTTGCAAGAATATTTCAAGCAGAGAAGGGCTGAACAACTAAACCGGGGCCCTTTATTTGGGTTTATTGCTAAGAATGAAATCTCCAATGGCAGGTACTTACAAAAATTCTCTCCTTTGGGCTTTCATACAAGTTTGCATTGGACAGTTTTATGAAGAGTTTGGATTAGGAAGTGAAGAAGCTTGATTAAAATCTGTCTGTATTAGCTTCAATGTCTCTTAACTAAGAAGTAATTTAATTTTAATTAAGAAGATGGAAGGGTGGTCTAGTGTTTACATAAAGTTTTGATAAAATTGCACTTCAAGGATTGTTTGTTAGCTGAAAATGACCTTTTGAGCTAATAAGATTTGTTAGAATTGATGATAAAAAAAAGGATTGTTTGTTTGCTGAAAAGAACAAACAATGAGTAAATATCAACAAATATATGACACTCATAGATCATAGTGTTACTTTAATTTAAGTATTTATCAGTGACCACAATACTTTAGTTTAAGTATTTATCAGTAAATATCAACTATAGTTTTGACACTATAGTGAGTTAGTGACCACAATGACCACACTGATGTTTAATTTAAGCATTTAACAGTGCACTGATCATGAGGATAGTTTCTTAAGGGCTTTAGTTTTGTGACTGTGTAGTCATATTTTGTCCATAAATCGTGTTATAGTAAAATAAGAGAAATGAGTCCTAAAGAATAACCCGGGAGTGGAATTACACACCCCACAAAAGAAAAATAAACATGAAAAATACATAAGAACTCTCCAAGATTTGGAATTAATTCAAGTACATCCCTACTTTATCAAAAATAAGCAATTACATCCACGAACTTTAGGAGAATATCAAAGGTCCAAAACGGTCTATAAAAGTCAGGATTAATCATCATTGGCTTATTAAAATACTGAATTAATCTTGTTAATAAAGCATTAGAATTTAATATAGTCAAATATATTGTTTGCCAAAAAAGAGTCAAATATATTGTGAAATAGAAATATGAAAATGTCAAATATAATACTTCCTTCATCCCAAATTTGTTTCTCTTTCCATATTCATACGCTCACTCAGATTCTTTTTTATTATCTAATTTTCGTATCTAAACTTTCACATTTGAATTCAGTTTTTGAAGTTCATTAGGTGGCATATTATAGTATTTATATATACAAATGTTAATTATTAAGGAGTAGTATTCATTAAAATATTATTGGGGGAGAATTAACTGTAACCTCCGCTAACCCTCGTAATCCTAAATGAGATAAACAAATTGAGACTGAGATGGTAATAAAATAAGTAAATAACTATACAAAAATGTTTAAAAAGGTTTTACTTGGTAAACCTTTTTTATGATACAATGTTTTTAGCATATACGCTTTAAATTACATACATGTTCAGGCCTGTGCATGTCATATGGTTATTATCTAAAATACAAAATATTATAAAATTCAACATCAAGCAATATAGTAATATTCAAATTTTCAAATACTTAATACTTTCATATACAACATATGAGTACACAAATAATTTATATTCAAATTTTCACTGATAATCAAATTTATATTCTCGCTTATTTGGAATTTTGCATGTATGCATCTATAGGAATCACAAAGAGTAAAAATGATAAATTTATTTCATTTTTATTTAACCTTAATTCAAATTGAACTGAATAATTTGACAAAGAGTAGTAAATTTTAACTTTTATTTACTTATGTAGTTATGTTATTATTGTTTTTATTATTCGACGTTAGTATTTCTTAAAGTCACATGTGATTTCAATATAGGGAAAACTGTCAAATAGGTCCTCGAACTTTCATAAAAAAGTCAATTAAGTCCTTCTATAGGAGACTCTGTCCGGTCGTCGCGATTTGGGGCGGTTCCCGTTGGAATTTTCTGATGAATTTTTTTGAGCATCTTATTCACCAAGTCTAGTTTACTCATACCAAATTTCAGCTAAAAATTTAATCGGGAGCGTATTCAAATTAATTCGAGAACGCAAAAATGCGTAGTTATCTTCAAGAATTAATTTGAATGTGTTCCCGATTGAATTTTTAGCTGAAATTTGGTATGAGTAAACTAGACTTTGTGAATAAGATGCTCAAAAAATGTCATCAAAAAATTCTACCGGGAACTGCCCCAAATCGCGACGGCCGGACAGAACCTCCTATAGAAGGACTTAATTGACCTTTTTATGAAAGTTCGAGGACCTATTTGACAGTTTTCCCTTCAATATAATATAATGTTTTGTCCATTAGGTTTGGAATTATTAATTCAAGGATGGTGAGTTCAAATTGTTATCTAGCAGTAGTTTTTTGTCTTTATAAAGCAGTAGGATAGATATGTTATTATGCAGTGTCAAACCTTAGAGGTCATTGATATTTTCCAGTAAACAATATTCTAAGTTGTGTACTTATCTTGATATGAATATAATGAATTGGAATAACCAAGTAAGCAAGGCCTTCGGAAAAAAGCACAACCATCACGCGATTATGGTAACTTTGTCTATTCATTCCTCCCTCTGCTCTCCCAATTGGCATGAAGTATTTATTCATATAATGTGGGCAAGGAACATTTTCCCCAAGGAGAAATTTCTATTCTTTACCAAACATAGGAATATGTTAGGTTTAGGAATAAACATGGGAAGGAATAAACATTCCATGTACCAAACATGGGATTAATTCGTCTTATATGTGTGGCTTGTGTGCACTTTCATCCTCTTCTATTTGGTCCTGATTTGATGTGATTGTAATTTCAAAACAAGCATATTCCATTCATAAACACTTCCTTTGCTGACCCCTCTCATTCCCAGCACAATGGACATTACAAAACTATCCCTCAGAGATCATAACATGTTTTTCAGGGTGTTAGGTGAATGGCTTGCTTTGCAACTTACCTATAAACTCTATCTTTTCTTTTCTTATTGTGTGCGTCTGGATTATTTTGACTGACCAATCCCATGGGCATAAAATTTGGAAACTGTGATCTCTGTGTAAAATTTGTATAACTTGAAGTTAGCATTCCAACGACATAAAAATGGTTCAAATTGATAATCCTAAATTACATATGATCAAAATTCAAAAGTACAAGTCCATGTCATTTTAATTCTAAATCGTTGTTTTCAGATATTTTGGTTAAATAAAGACAACTCCTTTAATATTTGGAAATTATTGTCTTTAAAAAATCTAAACATGAGTTTAGATCTCGAATGACACAAAAAAGCCCTACAAAGCGAAGGTGCACAATTAATATATTGACTGGTTTAGTTTTTTCCTTGCTGTTTTGGTGTATTCTAACTCCTAAGCACATCCTCATAAATGCAATAACATCATGCTTTGGATGTGCAGATGGGCAATGTTTGGATTTGCTGTAGGAATGTTAACGGAGTATGCCACTGGCTCCGACTTTGTTGATCAAGTGAAGATCCTTCTCTCAAATTTTGGAATACTAGACTTGGAATGAGGCTGGCTGTCAATACTCGGAGTTGTTCATCTGCAATACTTTCATTGTTTCATGTATTCTATCACTGTAGTCATTCATTTGTTGTAGTTTCACTTCAACGCGCCTTTTGAGCTCTAAAAAGGCACACAAACAGTATTTTCTTTGACAAAACTGAAATTTACAAGTGACCTTGTGTGGGATTAGGCAAAACATTTGCAGGATTATGTGCTGTGAATTCGGTGAAAAGGGGAACCTTAGCTCCTAGGGGATATTTTAGGAAAAATTGTGACTAGCTTTGCTTATGATGAGGTTTAGCTCTCAAGGGAGGGAGGGACCCAAAATTTGACCTGGAGTATTACCTCATCAGTCGCACATTGCAAGTGAAATACCAACTCTATAAAATGTAAAAAAAGTCGTATTCACATCAAGTTGCAGTAGTGATTTTTCACTAAAAATGTTGGGAATGTTGACTATGAAATTGAGAAACAAAATTTCAATAAAAAAAACAAAAAAGTCTTTCAACAGCATAATTACTAATTCTATAAAATTGTAAAAAGCATAATAAAATCCTACAGAATCACATAATGTTGCAGTGGTGATTTTTTTACTCATAATAATGGAATGTCATGGTTATTGACTATACAATTGAGAAACATAATTTCAATAACAAAGCAAAAAAGATGTGTTTTATTTGTGGTTTTTATATTTTATAAGCATGTTCATTGATTATTTTCATGTCATTTAGACTCCAATAATACATCGTATATTCGTACGTGTTTAGATTTTGTTATGATCACATATGTATTATACGATAGTATTATGAATTGACTGGGTATACCAGTGGACGTAGCTAAACTGGTAGCGAGGGAGTGCCACAAGGATTAGGTCCCGGATTAGAATCTCGGCAACTGTGATGAGAAGTTACTATGCTAAAAAATGCATAGGACTTATGTAAGTACCGAGGACAAAGCTTCACTCTCTATATGAATTGACGGGGTATTATACTATTATGAATTGTAATAAATCTATTTATGAACCGACTAATAATTGAAATTCCATTGTTCCGTTCATTGTAAAAAACCAGGTTTATTCTGTTTGGTAAGCATGATACGTAGTAATAAAGAGAGAATAATAATTGTTCCAAATTCCAATGTCTGCTGCAGTGCTGCCATTTGGACAGCACCAAGGCTAGGTGAAAGTTAGAAGAGATAGTTTAAAGGCGCTATGAAAAGTATAACAAAAAATTGGTAGTTTTTGAAAATATAAGTACGGAGTATTAAAAAGTAAAATTTGAAGTATTTGGTGCGGTTTTAAGCACTCTCTTCCCGCTGCTTTCAAGTTTCAACTACTAGTTTAAGACTTTGAGTGCTTAAGAATAAGCAGAAACAGCAACTCAAAAAATACTTTCCTAGTTTTTAAACAAAAACAGAATATTGCTCATCAAAAGTTCTTGCAAACACTTATTAAAAGAAAAGAAATTGATTCATCTCTTCATGTAGAAAATGAGTACCCCGGGAATGGAGGCAAAAATGACAAACATATATGTAATAATAACAATGAAAGAACAATGATATTCTGGAAAGGCTAAATTTGACATTAAAGAAACTGGATATCAACAGACAAAACAGATGATAAACAAAAAAACATTCTGAATGGATGGCCATTGTATGAATTTTGAGACTTCCTTCCCAGCGCCAGCGGTGGGAGTCGAATTCCATCTACATCAAGTGATGATGGCTGAACAAAGGGCATAGATAATCAACCTTTTAATGCATGGGCCTGCCGCCCGCGTGCTCTGTCTTACCTTCCAAAACAACTCTGGCAAAACCACCACAACCACAAGCTTAAAAACTACATAATCTTGCATGAGCAAGTCTTACCATTGCGGCTATCACAGTCGTCATCTGATTCTTCATCACTGCAAACACCAACAACGCATCAGGATAGAAATATATACAAATTGTTCAGTAACAAGGGTAGCGTGCATGATTAAAAAAACTAGTGATCCATACAAAAAAGAAAGGAACTATAAAAAGTATGGTGTCAGGCATAATGGTTGCCATAATAACTTGGATAGTGATAAAGGCAAAGCCAGCTCGGGGAAGGTTCAAATAATGATAAAATCTATTTCAAATTTACCATCAAGTGGTTCCACCTACTTTATTCACTCGGAGGTAATTTTGGAATAATCTTACCAGTCTCTAAAACTTTCCCTAATCGTGCCCTACATATATCATAAACCTATAGCTTGAGGGTTACAAATGATGTAAAACTACTCATGAGGTGACTTGCCATAACATGTGCATTAAAATTCAAAGTGATAGACTAAGCACATTCAAGTTATAAGCATGAAAACGCAAAGCAGTAGATAAACAACCCTATATCAACTTGTTACATAAACCTTTCCTGTTGCATACTTTTATAGGGACAAAACATTTGCTAATAGCAACTAATTCTGAAACACTGAAAGCGCTCAGTTAGCAAAAAGACACATGGGACTAAATCAGATGAATTGGTGGCACAACTGAATCATGAAAATTTGATTGAAACACATGGAGATGTAAAACTAGAAATAATGACACACAACCCCTGAGTTTAGAAATCTTATTAGGGTTTAGGTAACTCATGCTAGACCAAATACTAGCCGGTGTATTAGTTATTTAAAACAGTCAATTCCTCGCTCATCAAATGCTAAGCTAAAAAAAATAAAAAGGTGAAAAGCTAACTAGTATTTCAGTACAGAACAAGACTGTCAAAACGCACCTAATTTCAAACTCTCGGATCTCAAAAAGCTCTCCGCCATGTGTATCTGTCCAATGGACCTTCCTTCTTTGCGTATTATCGTCAGGGATGTCATTGCTTCCTTCACTTACTGTCTTGCAATCACTGTCACTACCAACTTGAACATCTATGCCATTTGGCAGTCTCTTTAAGCTGCTCTTAAGTACAAGCTTAGCTGATGTGTTTGTCTCTTCAACAGCACGAATGTCCTCACACTTCTCAGATATTGGGCCAGGTCCCGCTGGTGATACTTCTTGGTGTTGCGTGGAACCTACCTTTAGGCAAGAAGGGCTGCTACCGAGTCCAGAGGAAGCACGGCCGAAACAGATAAAGGGAGCACACCCCGGAAGAAGCTTTCTGTTTTTCTTGGAAGCCAGTGCAAGATGAGTATCAGTTTTTCCGTGATTCGCCAATTGGTATTGGGTCCACGGGGTAACTTTGATGGGCTTCTCTTCACTGCTCTGGCCCAACAGAAGAAGGGATATGCATGAGCTATACCCAGAAGCTGAAGAAGAGAAAAGACCCCCACCTTCTATTGCTAATAACATCAGTTCTTCTTCTCATCTGTTCACCATGAAAAAATTTGTTGGGTAATGAATTAGCTTCTTCTCACCTCCAAAAACTAGCCCCTTCTCCAGCTGGTAGTGTACTAGTGTCCAATAGGACACTCACAAAGATGCTATAAACAACCAAAAACACAAATCAGAAACAACAATGGTTATCCGATGCAAAATACTAGTAGAGTATTAAGAAGTGCTCCCCCCCCCCCCCCCCCCCTATTGGATGTCCACAAAACTTTTCCATCCTTTTGAAGTAACAATTTTGTCATTAGTCTTATTTCTCTTTCCCCTACATGGACCTGAGAGGCTGAAACACAGTTTTTATTTCCATATATTCCTCGTGCCACTCAAATTTGGCCAATTATTATGGGACGGAGGGAGTACTACCTAAGGTTGTCCAATTGACCTAAAAATTGGCTTGGTGAAGCCTAAAGGTGCTCTTAATAGAAATGTCACTTCTTAGGATTTGCAATTAACTGATCTAATCAACCATAACTCAATAAGATTAACGAAAACAACTAAAGAGGCACCAAATTCCCCTATATATTGTTAAAATAAAGTCACTGACATTCAAGATCAGTCCGAGACATTCACCTCGCCCAAGTAAAAAACGAATATGAAGAAAACGAGTGTGGCTGTTGACTTCATTGATTCATCATACGAAATTTCTAATCAGAACAACTTGGACAAAATGCAATTATGAGAAGGTACAAAAAACAGCAATGGAATTAAAAAACGTTATATAATTACAGCTGTCATAAAGACAAGAAAGAAGAGACTACCAGATCTCAGGGAACAGATGCCCAGCGTGACTTCACCAGAAGGATGAGACCAGCTCCGATCGCTAGAAACCGTGAAGATAACACCGACTGGGTGCTATATAGGTAGACCAAGTGGGGGTTGGGCAGAGATCCACTCTCAGAGAAAGGATACAAAGATTCTATGTAGAGGAAAACGTTTGCTAAAAATGGCGTGTTGTTTGGTTTTTGTTTTTGTTTTGGTCTCTCTTCTAGCTTCTATTCCATTTAATTTTTAGGGAAAAGTAGGCATTACATTCCTGTGGTTGTGATAGTTTTCACTTAGGAGTCTGTGATGAACTTTGTAACAAATGCATCATCGTGTTTTGCTACCGTTACCATCTGAGGGATCCCTTGTACCTGGCCGTTAGTAAAGTGCGACGTGGCATAAATTTTTCCCAAATAAGCTCCAGCGTGGCCAATGGAGAGCAATTATTTGAATTCCTTAAAAACGAAAAACTTAAGTCAAATTAGGGCTTAAGAAAATAGGAATTAGACACGATAGAGAAGGTTCTTCCTCACATTCGGTTCTTCACACTACGTTTGGAAAAAGGATCATTGTTGCTCGTAGCAGACAAAGGACAAAACGCAAGGACTGGGGTATGGAAGTTTAGTTATTTCCATCTTAACGTCCTAAGGTGAAAGTAAATACTCAAACTAGTCTTTGTTTAGAAGTTTGGTTTAGATTTTTTGGGTACAGTGTGAATGGTGTTTTGAAACCTGGTTGGTTTATTAACGTGTCAATGGGTTCGTTTTGAAACATGGTAGGTAGTTTAACAACGTAGCACTTTAAGTTGTCATGTTTTTATGGTTTGGAACGTTTCGGTTGTCTGCATTCAATGTATGCGCATGTCGGGAATGAGTGAATACATCAATTTGAATACATCAGTTTTGGACTGTCCAAAACAAAAAAAAAAGAATGTGGGGGTCAGGTTTTGATTAAAGATAAAGTTGACATTGACTATGTGAGCAAGTTCGAATTAGATGGGTATGCAACCGATTTGGGTTATACAAATGGGGTCCACATGTGGTTTAGAAGATTCACAGTAAGGGAGTTGTGTGGGCCAGTAAGTTTGCAAGAGATAATATGTGTGATTGAGTATATGGGTCTAGGCCCCAGGACCCACATACTCAGAAGAACAGAAAGCACAAGCCACTACGCAGTGCCCTCGTCGGCCAAAGGACCCTCGTCGGCCGAAGAGGGACCGACTCAGAATATGATCCTGAAGCAAGGGAACCAGGGTGTCCTCATCGGTCGTGCCCTCATCGGCCGTGCCCTCGTCGGCCAGACCCTCGTCGGCCACGGAGG